CTGCCTGCCTGACACAAAGCACTGGAAACTGCAGTGCTTGCCTCTTGAATTCTTCCCCTTGCTGCTGTACAATCTGCCCTTTTATTTGCTTTATTTTTGTGCCAACACAATACTTGTTTTCCATACTCACTTTGCCTAGTGGAGAATTTGGAGCTGGCGAGGCGAAGGAAACGAGAAGGTCATCTGGTGCTCTGCTGCTGTCAGCAGCGCTGGCAAGCAGGCTGCAGATGGGAAGGCAGAGGTGCCGGATGGATGGAGGAGCACAGCCTGCAGAGATCCTCCCAGCAGCACAGGCAGCTTTCTGCGGGAGCCGACTGACAGCAAATGTACTTACTGGGTTGCTTTGGATGGTGAGGAGGAGCTGTGCTCAAAGCCTAAAGTCTTCGGCATCCTGCTGACACTGACTTTTATCTGCTTCCTTCTAGAGGGATCACTGGAAAATCAGATCATCCAAGCAAACCTGTTCTGGAGGCCTGTGGTAATGCTAAGACTAAGAGGAACAACAGTCCTCCCATTTTGCAAGTACCGGGATCTCTGGATTTCACCGCTTAGGTCACTGGCAGATCATACAAAGATATTCCCTAACAAAAAAATAAAAACAAAAATTAGTTTTGAGTGCTTCCTAAAGCATTACGGTTTGTGTGTATTTTCTGAGATCTCACATTTCCCTTGAACCAAGTGTTTCAGGTGGATTTTGTCTCGACTTCATGTTCTTACATGTCAAAAGAAAAAAATTGTTTTGATCAATCCCAAATCAATGCCCTTTCACTGTTTACTTCTGCAGACTCAAAATGCTTTCATTTTTTTTTCCCAGATTATTATTTTTAAATTTGAAATTGACAGTGAAAATGGAAAACACTGGGGTTTTCAACTGAAGTCTCATTTCTCTGTTTGTGTGCTACATACTTCTGCCATATGCTGCAGAGAAGGAGGATTTCTTTAAGCTCTAATACAGAATCCAAGAAGAAAGAGTTTTTTTATAGATCTGATCTTTGAAAAGATTAAATTTCCTCTCACTGACTTGCAAATTTGCCCCTACGGGCACTGCTGTCTCTCCCTGATGAACGCACAGAACCTCTCAGCTCCTTTCTGTTTTCCTACCGATATTGCAATCTTGATTAACAGACTCATCTTTTATTTTCTCATGTAGGGCAAATTTATCCAAATTCGCTTTGGTAGCACAAGCAGGCTGGCTAGGGCTAGCGCTGAGAGCTCTGAGGAACCACAAAATTCTTTATATGCATTTTGCATTGGATTTTTTCCGGGGTTGAACGGACCCTGTTCTGATTACATCATGCACAAGAAAATCTGAAACTAATTCTGTTAATTGGAGGAATCTGCACTGCTCTAGATGAACCCCAAATCTGGCCCTGCTTCCACAGTGGCGTTATGTGCTTTAGATGATGACAACTTTATTTCTTCTTTCTTTAGTTGACTCCGAGGCTCCATGTGAACACGTAAGAGGCACAATGCTTGCCCCCAAAGCTGTGCACTTTTCCTTCTACAATTACATCGCAACTGTTCCTCACATTCATCAGCACAACATTGTAGTTGTCTTGCAATCAGGATCCTAAAAATAACAGTCCAGGGAAGGTGCATTGTTCTTTGTTTGCACACGTGCACCTAAGACTAAAATGAGAACCTCAAATCCCAGCTCACAAGGTAGAAAGACCCCATTATGCTTCCTGACTAAAGCCCTTCAGCACGCAGAAAAAGGAGAGAGGAAACATATGGACCGGTTATTCTTTAATGTGGGATTGTCTGAATCCCTCCTACTTTCAACTCATCCCAGATTTGCATCACACCAAGAGACCATATGTTGGGTTTGCCTCTCTGGACCGTGGGCCAAGGCAGGTTTCAGGTTGTTTTCTGGCAGCTTGCAGCTCCTTCCAGCCTGGCCAGCAGAGCAAGGGCATGGACAGACCCTCTCTGTGCAGGCAGCAGCACTGGCTTGGGGTCCTTCTGCACCCTCACTGGAGCTCTGCTGGCAGGGATTGCATCTGTGTCACCTGGACTTGCAACAATTAACGATAAAGGTGGTTCGATCCAACCCAAATTTGTCTGAAGAACTCACACGATCCCTTTCACCTACACACCTATGTGGGCAGAAGACTTAACTAAGAGGCAAAGATGAAAATACCCAGCTAGGACAGCCAGCGAGGTCTGGTTATTTGGTACAGCTGAACGAATTGCTACCCTGAGGTCTGGGGACGTGTGCTTTTGTGCTTTTTGTCAATATCAGAAGTCAAACTAACCATGTTAGGGCCTGACAGGAGGTATTGGCAGAGAGCTTACAGCACACAAAACATCTTTTCCAGAGCTCTTCTCAGAAAGAAAGGGCAGTACAGGGAGGTGTTTTCACAGATCAGTCTCCAAACCTTGCACTGGCAATTCAGAGGGTGCTTAGCAGTGGGATGAGTCAGTTTGGAGACCCGCTCCTGAACCCAGCACTGACACAACTGGAAAAGCGATGGCATCTTTTTGCCTCCACGTCACGAGCTGCCAAAATAGCTGCACTAAAACTTATCCCAGAGGGAACTGTTGAGAAGCTTAAAAGCGCTCTCTGAGAGCATCAGTGAAGGATATTATGAGCTATGCTGCACTTACAGGACTTCCAAGGACATCGGGGAACTGCTGGTTTCACTGGTATCAAAACCTAAAGCCCCACTGATGTAGGGTTGTAATTTTTCAAGCTCTGGCTGCCACCTGCACCTGGACGTGTTTGTCCCCATGTTTCAGACCCAGAGAAGACACGTGTCATTTCCCAGGAAGCAGAGGAGAGAGGTTATCACTTCTTCTACCAGATTATCTCCAAGAAGAAACCTGAATTTATTGATAAGGGCACTTTGTGTTCAAGTGATTCACTCCCTTAACTGCAGCCTTCCCTGCTCGATCCTCTGCTTCTAGAATAAGAAACCTACTCACAGGAGCCGTGTGCTTGACTAGGGATTGAAACAGGTTCTGTGCAGGGGAGGGGTTGTTGCTTCATGTCCAGGAAGAAGAGGATTGCAAGTGACTTCTCCTTAGGCAGGCCAGAGTGAGGAAAGAAAGCTGTCTTCCCGTATCTTGATCAATGCACAGCGAGGTCCCTCGTGTTCTGGCAGGGCTGCCACTGAAGTAAAACCGATCCTTTTCAAACTGAAGGGCTGAGCTGCCTCATGTCAATTGCTTACATCTCCTCAGGACACGAAAGACAGCCAGGACAAGTTTTTCAATAAATGTTGAAAAGGTTTGTGTGTTCAATCCCACTTACATTGATGCAGCTGCTATGTCAGAATCTCGGCAGCCTGAGCAACTCATCCCCAAAATGGATTTTATTTTATTTTTATTTTCTAAAGTGATACACTCAAAATGTGCTCAGGAATTGAAACCTAGAAGAACCCTCAGTCTGCAGCCAAAAAGCTCACGCTGTGCCTTGATTAGGGCATTTGGTATAATAACCTCTTGGTCTGTCTCCTGCTGCAGAAACTGCTGCTTGTGCCCGAGCCTAATCCGTGATGCATCGAGGTGGGATCACAGCAGACAACCTGGGCAATGCGAAGAGCCACTTCTCAATAATGTTAGCCTGCAGAAACGTCGATGAAATTGATGCAGCAAACACGACGCTGCCCCCAGCCTGAGGTCCCCCTAATAATAAAATTCAGCTTCTTCAACCTGAGGATAAATGAACTACTGGAAGAGCAGCTAGCAATAATGTAAAGATTTGTTCAGTTCTCTCTCAGTTGAAGCCTGGATGTGAAACATTTGCTCCAGAGCAAATGAGCTTGACGTAGGAGTTTCTGGTTAACATTCAATGGCCTGGGGTTTGCAGGACTTCATACAAGCTGGCTACGGTGTTTGTTTGAAGCCCGAAAACTGACAGATCTGAAAACTGAGGCAAGGACCATGGGTTAGAACCTGTTCGTCTCCCATGCATATGTAATCTCTAGGAGCAGCTTTTGTAAAGGAAGACTTGACCCTTTGTCTGGTTTTGACACACATTTTCCTTTTTAATATCATTTTGAAGAGTATCTGATACCGAAAAGAGCTTATTGGGAATATCTGCTGGCTCCTGAGACTATTATTATAAGCAGGACTTGAGCTACAGAAAGATCAAACAGTCTCCAGCTGCTGAACTTACAGTGCCCTTTCTAGCAGCTGTTGGTATTTTACAGCTTCCAGGATTTGTACATTGCAAACAAGCCTTTTGCACAAAGCAGCTATGATTTTCCTAGCCACTAAGACAGGCAGCCCCAAATCACGGCTCGCGAGTAGCACATTGTCTGCAGGATTCTGGAAGCCGTGCGTGCTCCCCCGTCCCTGGGCAGGCGGTGGGAGCAAGGCACAGCGCTGCCAGCAGAGCTGCCGCCTCCTCCTTATCAGTGCCAGCTGAGATGTGGGACGGTCGCTGCGAGGGGATGCTGCTGCTCACGTCCTGCTGATTTTAAGAAGCGTGGTGAAGAGCGGAACGAGCTGATACCCTAGACAATACGTTGCATTTTGCTTGTGGGATCGCAGAGGCACTGAGAACAACTGCTGTCAAAGCACCCGGTCCTGAGCTAGCATAAATCAGTACAGGAGAGCCGAGCAGAGTGCTGGCTTACAGCAACTTTAAGCTACTCTGTCCCATTTTAGTCTGAAGGGAGCTGGCTGGTCAAATTTCAATGGGCTGGAAAATTATTTTAGATGTCTAGCATTATGGGCCAGATTCCAGTTTATGGTGCAGATTAAGAATCCCCTTGTGCGGGTCTGTGTCCCTTCTGCCAGGTGGCCTTTGATGTACCGGGCTTCGGTCCAGAAGAGAAGATCTGTGTTTACAAGCTGGCGAGAGGTAGCGAGCACTTCAGCGCTACGAGGTTCAAGCAGGAGCCAAGAGAGGAGCAGGCAGAAGTGGACACCAAGAAGGCAGGCTGAGAGCTTACACACCAGGACAAAGCCAGCGTGCTACGAGCTCAGCCACTTCGCTAGGAGTGGAGAAGCTGCTAAAGCCAGACTCTGTTTCCAGGGAATATAAAATGACCTTAAACAACACACTGATTTATTTTTCTTTGTTTTGTTTAAATGAACAGATGTGCTATTGAGAGTCAGAGCTGGCATTCACAGCTGCCACGGGGCAGCAGGCCTAGCCAGATGGTTGAGCTGTCAGCTCAGGACTGGATCCTTCTTTGTTGAAGAGCCCTGCTTTGCAGGTGTTTCTTGGCAGCCATGGTGGAGCAAAGAGGCACCTACCTCTCGGAGCATATGGGAGCCCAGATTCAGAGCAGTTGCTGTAACACCTTGTCTGAGGGGGGTGTTGTTGCCTTCTCTCCATCCAGCGAGCTCTGCTAGAATGGTGTGTGTGTGTGTGAAGGGACAGAGCTGAGACTTCTGTCCTTCTGTCCTTCCCAGCCTGTCCCCAGCAGGGCTGGAGAGCCTGCCTGTCCCTGAAAGCAGAGGCTGTAACCATTTTCCTGAGTATGGATTAAGGGGATGGGTGATTTTCTTCCCTTCAACAGTGGCTGATAAAGTTGCTTCCCGAGTGGTCTGAATTCTGGCAAGCTCCAGAAGAGCATCACCAGGCCCAGGGTGAAAGAACAAAAAATGGTGCAAAAAATGGACCAGTGACACGACTCTATCGATACCCTGATGCTTTTTTTTCCATCCCCACAGCCCATGGGCATTTTCTCCATCCTGAAAGAGCAGTGCACGTTCCCCAAGGCTGCCAGCTATAACCACCTGGGCAAATCACCCAGCCTCCTCCAGCCCAAAGGAGGCAAACGTGAAGAGGCAGAAGCTCCCCTGAGATGGCATGTTATGCTAAGAATGTGCTCGTAGCAAGGCTGGACATGAGGCCAAGATGTAGAGGCCAAGCCCTATGGATCACATCAAACTTCCATGGGTTTTAACATACAGAAACGTTGGGAAAAGTACTTTGCTGGTGCAAATTAATGTGGCTTTGTTGCTGTACAGGAGTACTGCAGCCAGACACTGGCTCTGCCACACAGAAATGTGTGTCTCCGAAATCCTTTTCAGTAACAATTAATTGAAAACACTGCGAATGCCTGACAGTGACGCAACAGTTGGGCATTTTAACGTACAAAGACTAGCAAGGCAGTTTCATGACTCTTCAACATGTTGCCACTGGCCTTGGCTTAAAATATAATCCTTACAGATAGTCTGAAAAGGAACAAAACCCCAAAAACTCAAGCCATAGCTTGTTTCCAGTAACACTAAGCTGTCGGAAAGCTACCCAAAAAGCACGGTAGCCAAAGGATTAAATTAGTTTTTGATTCTGCTGCTCACGCATTGCTGGAAGAGCCAGAGCCCTGCAGCTCGCTGCAGCTTGCCTAGCCTTTCCTGGTGAATGTGCCTTGCCTCTCTGCTGTGCTGTCAAGCAGCCATGCTAATGCTTAGCAGCAGGAGCAGTATTTAAGCATATTATCAATCTCCACTAGTTATTCATACGACTCCGCTGCACAGACATCCTGACAGAACATGATCAGAGCATGAATCACAGGCCCTTCACTCCCTCTTTTTTACACTTAGCAGCTATTCCCCTTCTTGCTACCAAGCGGGTTTTTGCAAGTGACATTTGACTGTGCCAAGATACATTCTGATTGCACTTGGCTATACCAGCCTATAAACCACATTGTCCCCTGTCAGCGTATAAACGTACGAGCCTAAAAGGTAAAAATATCTCTCCACAACATCCTTTCCTTAGAAAATCCTGCAGAATCCCTTATTTAGGGCATTTGTGCTTCCCATGGCAAGGGCCCCCCACAAGTCCTAAGACTCCAGAGAATGCATTAATGTTATTCCCATGCCAGCGTTCACTTGCTTCCTTTTCTTACACCCACAGAGGATTTCTTCCTCTCTTTAGCCAGGTTAACGAGAAGAAATCTGCTTTCTTATGCACTGCTACTTTCTCTCTGTGTCTGGACTGGTCATGTCTTTTCTCCCTGCTCCTTTCCATGCAGCAGGGTGGCTGGAGAGGAGGGAGGATCCCCTGAATGAAGCAGTGGCAGGCTTGCCCCAGAAATCCAGCGTGCTTTGGGTCCTCTTCAAGGAGGAGGTGCAGGTAGGCTGAACATTATGTGGCACAATCGATATTGTCAGCACAACGTCGGCAAGTAAATGTCCTCAGTTCTGGTCCCCAGTGCTTCCCCATCATTCCTTTGCGGAAAGGATTAAGCCTGTCAGCGTAATGCTCTCTTCATCCAGGTAACAGCCTGTGTGTGCTTCTCTTCCATGCTGAAAGACGATCTAGCTCTGTCCTTGAAAATTCTGCCCCTCCAGCACTAAAAGAGGCGCACTGTTCGCTTTGCTCACCGAAGGCAATACCAAGCACTGCTGCAGAAACATGCTTGCACAGATGGAAGCATGAGTGCAGTCCTGGCTTAATGACAAGCTAAATAATCCCCTCCTGGCAGTCAGTGGCCTTCTGCTGCCCAGACAAATGTCAGGTTTCTATCAACCAGAAAAACTTGCTGCCTGCTAGGATTGTCATCAGCTCAACTCAGGGCTCTGCAGTTGAAAGGTGAATATAGAATGGTCTAGCAAAAACTAGACCATTTTTCAGATTTCAAGCTATCAAATAGATGGGCTCAGATTTTATTCCTACTTCCTGCATTTGCAACTCCATCTCAGCCTATGCTAAACTGGTAAAGCAGCACCAGCGTAACACCAAGGAGACTGACTCAGAGTGCAAAGAATCATGTATGCCAACAGACTGTTGTGAATGCAGCTTCTCTTCTTTTCCAAGGGCTGTGTTCAATCCTGGTCCAAGGATTCCCTTAGAGCAGTTAAAAAAAAGGAGCAGCTTCTAAACCAAGAAAGAATGCAGGTAAAGTAACGCGTATTTCTTACTTGCTTTGTAGTTTATTCAGACAGGACCGAACTGCTAACTTTAGTCAGTTAAGACAGATTTATGTTGGAGGCTACAGTACACCACTTCAGCGAGACTCCTCTTCAAGAGCCTCTCTCACATATTCTGCACAATAATATTGATTTTAGCTGATGGCAGTGAGAGGCAGGAAGGAGGGTCTTCTTTCGTGTCTACCTCCAAGTTCCACGGGGTAAGCAATTGTCAATGCCTTTGTATTTAAACTGCCATCAATGCTTTTGTACTGAGCAGCAGCTCTGTCTCCTTAGTTTATCTTCAACCTTTCCCAAGGCTGGCTAACCCTGGTACCCTGATTTTACCAATACAGCACTGAAAGAGAGAAGGATGCTGTTCAGTTACCAAGACTTTGGCATCTAGCTTTTTAAATTGCCCTTGGGTATCTGGGACATCCTCAAGGCGCAAAAAGATATGACACAGGGCTTAGAGGAGACCCGCACCCTGCTGGAGAGGTAGCTCGTGATACCTAAACACATCTAAAATTTACTATGTTCAGGCAACTGAAACCTCTCTGAGAGACTTGCCCAGGGTCACACAGGAAGGATATGGCACAGAATTACATCCCAGCCTCTCGAGATGCAGGCCAGCAACCTAAGGACTTGGTACACCTTCCTGAAGCCAGTGTCATGGTACTTACGCTAGCTGTCAGGACTCTTAGAAGCAGTACAAGAAAGATCTAAAGAAGCCTGTCAACATCTTGGTCTGAAAAATCACATGTGAAGGGAGCAAATACATCACAGGGAAAGTCCTGCATTATTATTTCTATGGCGTCCAAAGCTGACTGCCAACTGATATGGGTATGGATGAATTCAATTCAGTCCTTTCAGGCATTCTTTTTTTGCTTTTATTATGCATCATGCTGCCACTTCACCCTCTCTTGATTGCTGACAGCCATGCAGGAATTTTCGCATAAGCCGAAATGAGGCTATTACGTGCTGCCTGTCCTCTGTAACACGCTTCTGTCTCTAGGGGATAGGTGCACCCAGCAAATAAAAGTGCTGTTATCATCCTACAGGCTTGCTGGTGGATGGCACGTCTTGTCATTGGTAGCTATTTGTATGATGGTAACCCCAAAGGAAACGTTAAATAACACCACAAGCCAGAATCACGAAGTGACATTTACCTGGACTGCTTCAAGTGCCTTCTACAGACGAACACCCAGGGTTCACACCATGCATGTCAGCACGTTCCCCTGGGCCACGAGGAACCGGGCTCACCTCATACCTTGTTGTGCTTTGTTTGTTTGTCTCCTTGTTTTTCAGTCGTGAAATGTGAATGAGTTTATAAAAGAGGAGGCTTTGTCTCTCCAGCCTTGGTAACTCCTGTTAGTTCTGCACACTTTGCACAGTGTATGCCCACATTTCATCCACCGCATTGTTCCAAATGAATTCGAACAGTCTGGTGGGTGTCTAGCACTGTAGAGCAATCCTCAGGCAAAGCCACACGGTGCCTGCAGCACAAGCTGTGGTGGGCTGAACAGAAATCTTTCTTCAGCAATGACAGAACTCGGGTCATCACTTCACAGACCATCTTGGGAGTTTCAAGGGAACATTAGTCTGAGAGGTGCTCCCAGTGCCATGACTACAGGTGGGATGTGTAATAATCTTCTCCTGTTGTGACAGAAGCCCAAAGAATTAGGAAATGCATGACCAATACCTGACCTTTAACTAGACAAACTGGCACCATTATTTTTGCGGCTCCATTGTCTCCAGCAACCCTTTTTTTTTCCCCCCACAGGATCAACCATGGAAACAGATGCAAAGGGGAAGAGGAAGGTAAGTTTCCACCTAATATATATTGAACTTGAAGGGCAGTGAACAGCAAACAGAACTGCTGTGAAAAGGCAGTTAGTCATGCTGTTTGAATTCCAACACTATTACTGAACCCATGTCTTCCACGTTCAGATGACAGAGATATGCATCCTGTGCACTGAGTGATCTTGTCCAAGACAAAAAAGAGAGGCAGTGGGTATAAATGTCTACTTTTAACACTCCTGTATCCCCCTCTGAGAACTTTCCCTTTGCAAAGACAGACAAATGTCCACAAGCACCAGTACGCCAGTGTCGTGGCCGTGAGGCTAGGAAGCTAAACCAGAGAGTATCTTAAGCAGTGATTAGCCTTTCTGCACAACTGTAGCTCTTTTATCATTATGCCTGTCTTTCTTATTTTAGATACCAGAGATTGAATCCAGCATAATCCCTCCAGGGTTGGTGAACAGTAAGAAGTCATCAGAGCTGCCGCTTGACTCCCCTGACCTGGGGGAGAAGAACAGAATTGGACATAACAAGGTACTGTTTACTCCTACCAAACGGAGCTAAATAAATTGATGGCAGTTATGACTCAGCATGCCTTTGGTGTAGATATAGCTGCAGAGTTAGAGTTTCTACAGCAACCCATTTCCTCATGCATATAATGTTCTCTCTTACACATGCTCCCAAACCTGACTTTTAATCAGACTCTACAGTTAATATAATGCAAATGGAGTACACCTTAAGCTTTGTGATAAATCTCACTTGCTCTTTACTATTCCTTAGTCAGGCAAAAATCCTGCTAACTGATCACTTATCCAATTTAAGACTAGAAAGGAAAATGGAAGGAGGCTGTTGTAGCTGTCTAATATTAGCAGCATATATCATCAATTTGCACATATGTTTTTGTCATAACATAATGAAGGTATCTATTGTAACAGGCATGAAAATGGAGCGTTCTGCTTTTTGCAAGAACCTAAAGTCTGCATTTCCTAGCTTCTATAATAATTATACAGCATTCATCACTCCTTCAGACTATTCCATCCTTAAATTTCAAATTATGGATGGAGGTTAAAGTGGGCCAGACACAGCCCCTGACCTTGTTCTTAAAGTCAACAACCACAAGATTACTAATATGTATTTTTTTTCCATTTTTACTGAAACTAGTGTGTTTCCTCCTGCAAAAGAGCACAAAGGTATATTTGGGTTTCATCAAGGAAAAGGTTTTGAAGGCCAACAACTGGAGGATCTCTATAATTTGGATGTGAGCCTTAGTCCCATCCAGAAACCTTAATTCACATGGTGATACATTGAATCCCATGGAATTCAATTACAATACTTATGTTTACAAGTCACAAGATTTTGGTTTTGGTCTGTGCACTTTTTAGTCACTGCCTTTAACATCTGCAATGGCAGGATGGAGAAGAGGAAAGAGAAGGAAGCAAAAAATGTCCTTTCAATTAGCTTCCTGTTTACGAGCAGCATTTGTTTCTTTCAGAGCAGAGAAATCTCAATTCCTACAACCATAGTAGTATTTTTTTAAACAGATTCGGTTCTGTCATCCCTTCTCCTGTGTCTGCAAACTGCTGTGACTCCTACACACCAAGGAACTGAGGGGCATCTGAGCCTCTCCCATTTTATTTAGACAACATACTGGCTCCAGCATTCTGCTGAGTATGGCTGAGCACGAACACTTTGAGCCCCCCTCCACACACGTTCTGGCAATTCAGAGGAATGTCCAGAAGTTTCTGCAGCTGCATTTCTGAGGCAGGTGGAAATTGTACAGCAAGGTGAGGAAAATACTCCGAGGTTGTCCTGTTCTGAGGAATTAAACAGTGGCAATTACAGACGCTGAGAACCTTGGCACGTCTGGACAAGGAAGATAAGCACCAGGAAAAAAAAAGAGCAGCCATGTTCACTTGAGTAAAGACACTGAAAGCTAGTGACTTTCTTGTTAATTATTAATAGGGCAATGGGCCTGACTGATTGCTTTCCAAATCAATGCCAGGAAAGTTAGTAAATGGAGAAAGCCCTGAAAGCTGAGTCTTAGCTGCTACCTCCAGGGACTGGAAAGAGAACACCTTAGCAATTCAAGACCTGGACTTCCCACTTCTAAAAACAGCACAGAGAGGTGGAGAGGTTCTGAACATGGGAATACAAGCTTTCACTATTCATTAACATTTAACAGCTGAAACAAAGCTGCTTGGTGCACTTCTCTGAAGTGGGACCATGTTGTCAGCATAAAGGGGCAGCTCCAGCCAAGATTCTCTTCACTTAAACCCAGGTTAGATAACTCAGATGATTTCCTGCTGAGAAGAAAGAAAGTGTTGAACAAGATACTCATGTTTTTGGGAACCATCATAATGGAAAAAGTTTGTTTTGGGAACCTCATCGCTTGAACCCCTTACTTCCAGGTGGAACTTTTGCTGGATGGGGCCCAACAGGAGAAGGAAATCTAACTGCAGGAAGAGGAGCTGAGAAGCACCATACCAGAGACACAGTAATGCAAAGAATGTGTCAAGGAACAGAGAAGACAGCCACTCTCACCCAGGAGACTGACCTCACCATCCAGCTGCAGGATGACAGTTATCCATAGGGGATGGTTAAAGGCTTAGAATTCAGTTAGGCAAGGAATCAGCTTCTCAAATGACTCAGTAAGAAGCTCATTTTCAGAATACGGAATGAAAAAAAAGAGCATATGGGAATGATGCGTGAGGTTTGCAGACACCCAGTCTGTATCTTAAATACAGTTAAGTCCCTAGAATACAGAGGAGACCAGGAGGCCTCGTGGATAAAGCAAAGGAATGGTTTTCACAAGTCCTGAGTTCTCTTCTGGACAACCACTGATGCTCAGCGAGGTCTATGGCAAATAAGGGTGTCATCATTTTAAAATAAGAACTCTTATTTAAGAAACTGTCTGTATACAAATGAACAAACCCCATTTTTATTGCCTAAACATTCAGAGACTATGCTCTGAGTCACAGAGATTCAGATCATTTATGACAAGTTATGTTAAAGAAATCTTCCACAAACTCTGCAAACAAGGCAAAACTTGCATTTCTTGCAAATAGAGGCTTGCTGCTGCAACTCCTGCCACTGACAGCAAGGTGTTTCACGGGGTGCATTCTGGATTCCCATCCCTTCATAAAGAATGAGAGAACTTCCTGGGTGCTGAGGAGTGCCTGCCCCAAATGACAAAAATCAAAGACGGACCGACCGACCTGCCGAGCCAAATCCCAGCTGTGACAGAGCTGTCAGTAGTAGCATACAGATGCTGGAAGATGAGCTCAGGGACTTGAAATGTGACTTCAAAGGGCTGGAGACCACCTTGGCCTAAAACCAAGAAGGAAATGCATGTATGAAGCACGACAGTATTTTTTTGTTTTGTTTTGTTTTGTTTTGTTTTGTTTTTCTTCCCCCCTCTCTCATTATCCAAATAACTGAACCCTGACAACCATTACAGCTCCACCAGAGGGAACACGCTCTGGGATGTTCACATTCACTCAGCTATCTCCCCACAATTTTTGATGCTGTCTTCTGGTATCTCATTCAACCTGAGACGGATTTAATTCTACATTTCACATGCTTACCACCGCAGTAGTAATTTCATAGTAATTTCTAGGGATCCGTCTACATAAAGACAGCAGCATCTCCTCTCCATTCCCTACTAATTAAACCCCTTTTACATGGCAGTGCTGATAAGCCTCTGCTTACAAAACGCCCCTCCTCCTCCACAGCCAGTAACTGCTCTCCATCTTGCCTTAGGGAATACTTCTGCCTCTTCTGCACCTGAATAGGTTTTCATTTAATGTAACTGGAGAAGTTTTAAATCTGTACTATAGCAACCATGTGGCTGTCTGCTGCTTCTTCTGAAGTCAGTGTTAACATCCACAGGATGTTAAACTCACAGATGTCTCATATGTTTCAGAATTTATTAACTGAATCTCAAATTCTTTAGAAAGAAATACAAGTTTCCAGCGACATTTTGTCCTGATGCTGCCAATAGTTTGTGAGATCCATGAAACCCGTGTGATGTTCCCTTCCCTGCCTGCAGGCATTAGACCACAGAGTTTGAACTCTGGCTTCAGATCTCTGCTCAGAATGACTCAGTCGCTAAACTCCAAAAGAAAGAGAGCGCTTTGGAGGAAGTTCATCAGGCAGAAATAACTGAGAGCGAGTAAAGAAAAATGGAGCGCTCATTCTCCCAGTCTAGGGAAAAGAAAAAAATCATTGTCTGCTTGCTTAGAGACCACAGCTTGCTGCACAAACAGGAAGGCAACTGTGTTTTTCTAGGTATTAACTCATGGCAGCACAGCGAAGCGTTGCCAATTTGTGCCACTGCCCAAAAGAGCTTTGTGAATTGCTGAGAGTGAGCTAGACTCTTCTAAAATAGTCACTGCTGGACCAAGTCCCTCAGGGCCTGTTGAAAATCCGTGTTCAAAGCTCATACTGCTTTCAGGAAGCACCTCAGGTAAATCTATTTATTTTTATTTATTTATTTTTCCAGCCCATTGCCAGGACAGTGTTAGTTTCTCATCCAACTCTGTGCACCGTAGCCTTGGTGTTTCCCTACACCTGTGATGTTGCTGGAGCAGAAAGTCACTAGGAAAATCCACGGTCATACCCCGATCTCTTCAGTGCTAACGTCACAACAAGCAGAAATACAGTTCAGCTGTTCAGACAAGCCAAATCAGAAATACAGGATTTTGTTCTGAAGTTTTGCTCTGACTCATTGTCTGATATTCATAATTCATCTTCCACAGTCACCCACATATAAAATGTGTATAATCACCGGGAAGTTATGAGGCTTAACTGATTCATGTTTATGTAAGGCCTTATGATCCTCAGATAAAAATTGTTTTAGAAATGCAAAATATTGTCACAAATTAAACTTATTTTAATGTCATTATTGACTACTTTAGTAATGGGTCTGCCAGTACTTCTCTGACAAGTTTCCCCTTAGAAATTAACTTTCCAGAATACAAATTTACAAGTACATATTATCCAAACCACTAATCTACCCAGTTAAAAAGCTAAATATCTACCGTAACATGTAAAATCATTAATACACACTGGCAGGACTTGCTGACATAAATCCTAACACAGAGCTCCATGGGGAGTACAAGAGACTTGTGCTTCAGAGCAAGAGCACTGGAATGCTTAAGTGTGGACAGAAAAAAAAATAAAGTGCTGGTGTTTGTCCTTCAGAGGGGCACACAGACAATCCCACTTTCTGGGGTGCTTTTAAACCTGTCCTGTTAAAAGGAAGCCTATCACCCCATAAACCCTTAAGCAATAGAACCAGCTAAGATACGGTATTTATTTTTCCTCGGGTAGATCTTGACCTCCCCTCCTCAATAGCAGCTCCTGCAATGCACTCTTCCTCTCACCATGGAAGAAAAAGTGGTAAAAAAAGCCAAAAATGGGACCTCAGCTCAAAGAAAGCAAAGTGCTGCCATTCTGAATTCAAATATTTCTTTCATCCAGCATATTTCAGTGCCCAAATACTCAACCAAAAACTCAGCAACAAAAAAATGACCCACAAACCTACATTGCAGCAATTTCTGTGAACGAGCCTCTTTTTCCCACAAGTCACCAAATCAGCTTGATGATATTCCTGATGACAAAATCCCAACACAATACAGGAAGCTAACCATACCACAGATAACTCCAGTTGTCTCCTGAGACACATGGCCAGGCCTTTCCCATCTTCTTGGCTTAGTATTCCCAGCTGCAGATCTCTCCCAGGAAAAAAATAAAATCCTGTAGTGTATAGAGAGGAGAGTGAAGAAATTAAGACTCTTGATTGCATTTGCACAAATTTCTCTTGCATCTTTTGCTTGTAGACCCTGCTCTGCTTGTGGTGTGCTCTCCAGGCCCTCATATTGAAGAGGTGGAAGCTAAGCGTGCTGTAAGAACACAGGTAGCAGCGTCTTTCTAAGGAAGAAAAAACTCCAAAGGGAAGTGATTACATATCTGAAAAGGCCTAAAGGCATGAAACTACTAATTAAAAAACAAAATTCCCCATGAAAGAGTAATAAGACGGACAATATTGAACTCCAGTTTCAGCCTATGCAAACTCACTCTTACAAACTGCAAACACTACTTCTTTCACAAAAGACTCTGAAGGAGCCAGCTGCTCTGTGGAGGTCTGCCCCACCAGTAAGAGTGCAGCAGGCTGGGGAAAATGGGCATTTCTCTGGGCTTCAGCCATCAACTTACTCCACCTACTTTTACAGTTTTATAGTGGTGGACGGATCTACTCTAATAAATCTTCAGCAAATTGCCAGGATGTGGATGTTAAATATATAATCAGATTCATTAACAATGGAAAAGCCTGAAGGTAATTTAGTCCCCAAAAGGTTATATTTTAATATAATGCTCTGAACACATTCTAATGACTAATACAGATTGATAGCATCAATAATAAGTAACATTTCCATTCCAATTCACTTTAGAAATGCTAGCTAATTCATTCTCAACCATATCAGGAGATAGGTCGGTGTTGTTAGACACCTTGCACAGATGGGAAAACGGAGGTAGAGGATCTCGTCCGGTGATACAAGAAGCAGCACTGTTCATCAGAGGCTTGCATTTGAGAATTCCTGTTCCCCCTCTGATTGTACCTCACACTGCCACAGTTCCCAAGGTGGTTATGCTTCTAAGTACTCATCGGCTCTTTGGCGGAGAATTTCTTCCACACTTTCCCACTAGGTGGAGAAACAAGGAAAGGATCTGCCCCATGATCTCACCGACTGCTTGGAAGAGGCAACCGCTGCCCCGAGGTCAGGCAGCTTCCCATACACCAGCATCTGAGCATCCTGCTCTCCTCAGACAGACACACACATCACTGGGACTTTCTAAAGATGACCCTTCTTCAGCAGTTTCTCCATGCTCATAAGCAGGCCAGATCCTGGAGTCCTGACTTACCTTCCCCTTACGCTGTGGACCTTGGAAGGGGTAAAGCACCAATGGCTCTGTGAAATTTGCTGTGGGCTTTCATGTTCCTCTACAGCTGGAGTGGAAGGTGATCTGAGATTTGTTAGATTTGCCAATTCAGAAGCACGCCGTAAAAACACAAGGCAGGACTGTTTGGTCCATTTTCTCTTGCTTTGCAAGAGAAATACATGACCCGCAGTCTGGAGAAAACTCTGCTTTAGCAGAAAGACCTAGAAATGGTTAATCCTTCTGGAAGATGCCACTCACCAACCTGCTAATGGAGTAATACCAAAGATGGGATTTGTCCCAAATAAAGAGCCTATTAAAACTAAATAAAAGGCTTCCAGAAGCCTTTCTTCCAAAGCATCCCCGAGAGCCTTTCTGAGGCTCTAGGGCTGCCAGACCTCAGCTGACAACACGCACTTGGCCCCTTCTCAGCTTTACCAGAATTGCAAGCAGGAAGCTGGGCTGCCGAAGTCGCTCCTTGAGCTGAGGAGGCAGCCCTGCTGAGTGAGGCCACGGCCTCTACCCCGTGCAGGAGGCACACAGATGCTGTGGCTGAGATGGCAGAGCTTGTGGAGAGCCCACCGTGTGAAGGCCAAGCTGGAGATGGGCAAACAGGTCATGAAAGCAAAGATCAGTGCCCTCGGTGCTAGCACTCTGCAGAAATCCAGGGGGAGAGGACATGAAGGAATTTCTCCAACCATCAGTGCGAGGCAGAATCCAGCTCTCTGGATTTGCAGGCTAGCACTGAGCACTGCCCACCCTGGCTGATGGCGCAGGCGTCCCCCTCACTAAAGATTGGGACAATTTGCACTCCCCCTGCCTGTTAGTCATCCCTTTATAATTACAACCAACAGGAATAAACCGAGCTTGCAACGGAGGGAGGATATTTGGGCCCTTCAAGCCTTACTCAGCATCATATGACTGCCTTCTCTTACAGCTGAACTCAGACTCATGTTCACAAGCTGGAAGATAACCTGTCTGAAGCCAAAGCCCAGCTGGCTGAGGTGGAGAAGAGCCAAGCTGAAATTAATGCCATCAGGCTCCAAGGTAAATTCCTTGACAGCTTTGTGCAATGTTACTTCCCTTGGGTCCTACTCTACCCCTGCATTTCTTGTAACTCTGGCAGCCCTGCTCTGCCTCCTTTAGCAAATCTGCCCAATCCTTCTACCTTCACTTTTCTTTCTCTCGAGTCAGATTGAATTAATTCCTCTCCTGCTTCCCTATGAGCTTTTCTCACAGCTGAGCGAGGCACACAAGGAAGATCTGACCTAGATTAACCAGATTGTCCACACGAAGATCCCTCTCAACTCTCAGGTGTGGTACACAACTTCAAGGGACTGCTGGATGAAAAGTCAAAGGTTCTGGGGACCACCAACTGCCTACACAGGTTGCTGCTCCCCTGGGACATGCAGTGCCTGTTCTTTTGCACGCTCCCCACTTCAGAGAAACGAATCTTTTGTTTCAGCTCTCACAAAGGGAAACTTTCTCATCCAAATTAATCCCTGGGCTTGTCACCAGCTAATCGTGATGGGGGTGTGTGGGGGCATGAGCCTTGTACGGATATGGAAATAAGACAGCCTCCCATGAGTCAGCAGCAAAGAGCAGAACACACACCTCTTGATTCTCGGTCCAGTGTCTGTTCAGTGGATTGTACAGCAGTTTATTTGCATAGGTCACGCATGTTTGGCTCAAGATGTATCAGTATTTCAAGTCTCTGTCTGACAGGTCTGTCTTGGAAATTTTTCCTTATCTCCAAAGAATAATTCAAGTGCTGCACCTGCATATCAAAAGCTTGGCAAGAATTCTCTCTGTGTTCAGAACAATCACCAAATGGGTTTACTGTCATAATTCTTTTGAAATACTTGCAGAGAAAACAGTGACGATGACAAGCCAAGTTCTGTTTTCAGTTATATGAACTCAATTCAATTTACTGCAGTACAGTTAAAAAAAAAAAAAAAGCAGGTACGGAGAACAGACGCTTGGCTCCTGACCAGGAAGATATTTTGAAACCTGGAATGTTTCTAGCTGGTCCAGGACTGAGTTGTTCAAGTGTAACACTCCAGCTCAGGGCAGTGAGGTCAGTGCATCCATAATCCAACCAGACAGATGCATCGTAATGGCTGCACTATCTCAAATCCTGCACGGCTGCTGCAGTAAGCCTGGCCAACGCCAAGCAGGACTTGGACCTGATGAAAGAGCATTTGGAAGAGAAGGAGGAGAGCAAAGTGAACCGTGGTTCCTGGTCTCTAAACTCAATACTGAAATCACAATCTGGAAGAGTAAATACAAGACAAGAGCCAAAGAGCTGGAAGAAACAAGGTGAGCACTCAGCTTTCAGGAAGAATGGGACAGGACTTAAGGTGGTTTATTATTTAGTTTAGCTGCTGAGTCACAGCTTACAGACGTGATCTGTTGGAACTCAACTTGCTAAGAGAGAAAGGAAGTAGAATGCTCTGGCTAAGAAAAAATAAATACTTGCAATAATAAACAGAGACTATTGAGCCCTAACACTTGTACGCTAACAACAGAAAACCAATGCTGAACCTTTCCAATAAATGCTTGTAGTTGAATAGACTTTCTTTACTCCAACAGCCCTACAAAAGCCACTAGCATTTCCTAACAATAAAGAAAGCACCGAAGCAGATTAAATCCATTACAACCTGGACTTTGAGATCTGGCATTATAGGCTAGAAGTTCAGCCAATCTTTGTAACAGTCTCTCTAACAGACCTAACATAAAGATGCTTTCACATAGTCCTAACTCCTGTTGCTATTAAAGACACCTGGAGGGCTTCACTGTGAGCCTGAAACAAGTTGAGACAAAATAAGCTCCTACATCTCTGCCTTAGTTACACAGATCTTCACAGGGAGGGAAGCTGCTTTGCTCTTAGACGCTACCCCAGTCCTTGCGATATCTGAATGTGAAGTGGAGGAGTCTATCACTAGGTAACAATCCAGCAATAAAGAGCTGAGCTGCAGCCTGATCTGTCTCATCCACACACGGAAGGGAAGATCCAGCCACATCCCAGTAGCAGTTTTCATTCCCTTTTCAGAGATTGCTTCCAAGATTACTGGTGAAAACAGCAATAGCACTCAAGGAGGTGACAGCTGCTGACTTCTACTACTCCTCACTCCATGAGCTACTTACTCACCAAGATATTTCTGCCCTCCTTCCCTCAGGACAATGCTGGCTGTGAGGCTTCAGAAAGCAGAGCAGACAGCTGAATCAGTCCAAGCCCGTGTTGGCAGCCCAGAGAAAACTAAGCAGAGGCTTCAGACAGAAGCGGAGGACCTCACTCAACCTGGAAAAGGCAAGAAAGCCAGCCATTCAAGAGCATCCAGCACAAGCCTGATGAGCAAGATCTGGTGCTGGAGTCTTTCTGTTAATTCCCTGATCCCTTATTTCCTAGTATTTTAAGATATCTCTATCAAATGTCACAGTAATCTGTATGGCCCTGAGAAGCAAGGCTAAGATTTATCACCTCGTGAATAAACCTAGATGAGAGCCGCAGCAAATTCCTAGGAGCACTCAGCATGCTTCTTGTAAACTCATTAACTGTCTTCCAGAAACAAGAGTGCAGCTGAAGCAAAAGCCCTCCCTCACTGCAAGGCAAGGTATTCATCTTCTTTTTAAGGATAATGATATCCTGCTTTGAACTTTGCAGTGTTGCAGTACCGGTGGGTTGGCCACTGGTTATTAACTACCACGCTCAAAGCAGATCTAAACAACGTGTAGCTTAAACACCAGCAATGAATGCTCCTTCATTAAATTAGTATTTCTCCTCTTGCTAGTGCTAGTGTAAGAGCATGAATAGCAGTGCAACTGTGGGACATTTGAATAAAAATGTTACTTAAAATAGGCACAAAGGCTGCTCCAAATCCACTGAAGTCCTTGGGTTCCTGCCAGTGACTGCAGTTGGCTTTAGAACAGGTCTCAAGAGCTGACAATCCCACATACAGCATTACAGTGCTGGGCTGAAAATCTGTTTCACCGTCACTTTCTTTAATGAAGCAGTCCTTTATTCTTTGGTTCCTGTGGTGTGCTTATCACCATGGTATCTGAACGCATGTGCAGATCATAAAGATATGTAGAATATTTGTGATTAAAAGCTCCTAGGAAAGAAAAATGTACCTTTATTCTTTCCCTTCATGACAAGCAGTTAAACACGGTCTAAAATAGTCTTGAATAACATCTTGTTTGTAACTGAATCGTCTTTGAAATAGTCACACTAATCAACCCAGGCAATTACTAACAGCACATCTGCACAAGGAATATCTGAAGTGGAAAACATTTGCTCCACAGCAGCATCATTATAACCACAGGAGCAAGGAAGACTATCACACTGCTGGGAACTGGGTGATCTTGTTAAATTCCTAATGGTGAGGAAAGAAAGCCTTGTAAACATTTTAATCACCCATTCAGAGTGACCACGAGAAACCCTGCCAGTCATTAGAGCGGCTGCCAATTTAACTGCGACTAGCTGGCAGGACACACATGAGAAGTGAAGTGAAAAGAAAACTTGTGTCCAGTGAATGCTTGGCTTTATCTTTCCAGGCCAACGCCGCTTGTGCTGCCCTGGACAAGAAGCAGAGAGCCTTTGATAAGATGCTGGTGGAAGGGCAACAAAAAATATGAAGAGCTGCAGGTGGAAGTGAATATTTCGCAGAAGGAATGTGCATTGACTGGAAACTCTGAGCTTAAGAGTGGCTGTGAAAAACCCTTGGAGCACCTGGAATCTGTGAAGAAAGAACATGGCCCTTCATGGTAAGTACTGGCTTGACATTAAAAACCTCTGCAAATCATTGGCCATTCGATTCCTACTTATCTATTCCTTATCTCCTATGGTATCTGCTAGCACCAATTCCAGTTTTCTTATTTCTAGCAGTGCTTTTCATTCCCTGGCAACATACATTGGAAGCACTGAAGTCACAAGTTAGATTCTGCTCTTGGGACTGGGTCTGCATTCACCCCAGCACCCAGTTCACCCAAGATACTAACAGTCACCTGTGTGCTGCCTCCAGGAACTGACTCTTGGGACAATACTTGGAAAGATCCTTTCTGAACCCCCAAAACAAGATCACAACAGCAGCTTGATTGTGCTCACTGTTATACCAGGAGGTCATCACTCCAAGCTGGGCCACGTAGCATCACCAGAGTGCTACGTAAGGTGATAATAAACTGGTTACTTCATTAGACTTAAATACAACAGAAGCTGAAGTCCCAATTCCAGCTGCCAGCATCCTCCCTAATTCTGAGCAATTCCCTCAAAAGACGATTTACAATCACCACCTTTACTCTAAGCAGATGAAGCTCCCTTTAACCTCAGTGGGGAGAATTAGGCATCTCCAGAAATCAGTTCAAAGGAAGTCAGCTAAACTCCTGCACAGAGCCTCCCCTCTTGGCATCATTTCTCCCCACTTACTATATAGGGAGAGCAGCTGCCTTTTTTTTTTTTTTAACTTCTGTAAATTACAAAAATTGATCTTCTACAGGAGGCTGAAAGATGACACCGTAAATGTTTTGAAGATGCTACAATCTGCTGCCCTTGCAGCCAACAGAAATCAGTGATGGACTCTCTGGCACAGCCCCAGGGCTTTCTGGGCTATCTCCCCCAACCCTTTGCTCTGCCCTCCATCACCTGGCACAGAGCCGCACTCTGCTGCACAGAGATGATGCAGAGTCCCATTTCCATTCTGTATGAGCAGCCATCTGAAAGGGGGAGAGGGGAAGGCTGGGTTAAAAACTGGAAGAAATTTCTCGTGACTTAATGGGCTTCATTCTTCCGCCTCCACAAACACATGCAGCTAGTGTGGCTCATTCAGAAATCCAGGATAATATTTAGCAATGAAAAAAAAGGGCAGCTAATGTAAAGTGACTGGAACCATTTCATGCCACTTCCATTCAAAGAATCTGTCTGGTGCACTTGGTAAAGTTCACGGTCCTGAAATAAACCTATCATATGAAATATCTGTTTTCTTCCCTAGAGGAAATTAAGGTTCTGATCAATCAGCTGGGGAAGGGAGGGAACAGCATTCATGAGCTGCACAAGATAAAGAGACTGGAGACTGAGAAGGATGAACTGCAGGTGGCACTGGAGGAGGCAGAGTCTGCCCTGTGGTACAGATGTGAGAGCTGCAGGCAGGTCCAATGCCTACTGCTCACCTTCCACCAGAAGGTGGTGTGTGTATAACCCTACAAAGAGTATTTATTTATCCTTCTGTTGCATATTTCCTTACAGGCTGAATAAAGTAAACTGATTTTCATTCAGCTTGAACTGCTTCAGGTTGAAGCTGCCATTTGAAAGCTGTCACTGTTCTATTTAAAATGTGTTCGTAAATGGCTCAGTTCAAAATTCTGGTACCACAGTTACGAACAGCTTTGGAAAGCTACTGTGTTTTTGTTAGTTGGTGGGCAATAACGTGATACTAAGGCTGGATTAGACTCAACAGAACAGAATGTTGCACCATATGCTTCACTGGACTCCGCAGAAAATCACCAGCACTGCAACCCAGTCTCTGCAGGTGAGTCTGGAGGCTGAAGTGACAGGGCATGCTGCAGCTCTTAGGCTCAAGGAGATGGAAACTGACCAGAACAAAATGGAAATCCAAGTGGATCGTGCCAACAGGAATAACAGTGAGCTTGTCAAGACACTGAATAAACTGCAACAGCATCTCAGGGTAAATTGGAGAGGATGTAAGCAGGTACCTGAATGGGAAAGCATGCCAGTTGTATTTTATAGCTTAAGCAACAAAGCAGTAGGTTTTGTACTCTTGTTTAGACTGTCATCTTGAATATAAAATCAATTTGTTCCAAAGCCCTGGTTCTCCCAGTCATACCAATTCAACCTGCAGTAGTTCTGACAAACCTTACACAGGATAAGCATTAATGTCAGCTTTTGTCAAAGTAGAAACCCAAAGATCTATCTGTATGTAATTAAAACAAGAAAAGTTGTGCTGTTAGGGGAAATGGATCCACTGCACTTGTTGTTTGAATGGTATAGCCATGTAACAGACTGGAAACTAACCAAGAAGTACAACTAAGGAGTTTCCTTTGGCTCTTCATTTCAAAAATAAAACCCAGTAAACTAGTAAAAAAAGCCAGACTCTTTGCTGGAATAAAGTAATATAATTGCTGCCAAAAATCCAGTTTTAGTAACTAAAAGAGTAACAAAGATTCTTTCTTTCTCCCTCTAATTACACTATGTATATACAGACACAAACCTAACCCATCCTCAGTTACATCAGTCTCAAGTCTGAAATACTTCTCTTAAAGTCAGTGTGGCTACAGTCATATGACAGGCATATACGATACTGGGATCGAGCACTTTTAACAACAACAAAAAAAAAAGGCATCACCCTAAAAAAGAGCTTTGCAGGGAGACCTCCTACAACTTTCAGCTTCCTCTCCATTCATTATTTTCATTAATCTTTCATCTGCTTTCAGGACCTTTGGAAGCAAATGGATGAGGATGCTTGCCAGCATGGGGAGCTGCAGGAACAACACCTCAGCCTGTTACAGCCAGAGCTGGAAGCAGTACGGACTGGGCTGGAGGGCAGCGAGGTTGAAAACCCTACCTTAAAAAGGACAGCGTAAGATTCTGCCTCCAATGAAACCACAATTTTGCTCTGTGTTTCCATGGTGCTGGGATTTCTTCTATGGAACGTAGCCCACAGCAAGATCCATTTTAGTGAAATTTTACAGATTGCAGTATGAAATGACATACCTGCCGTCTTTTTTTTTGTGTGCATAGAATTTAGAAGCCACTTTAACATTCACCATTACAGCCTGCAGTTCTTTTCCATAAAGGAAACATTGCTCATATTTGCAAGGAAGAAAGTATAACTTCTGGAAAGGACTGATACCATGAAAAGCGTTTCTCAGCTGCAATTAAGGGACATCAGTTATAAAAATTGGGTCATAAATGCATTTTTTATTCAAATAGATTAGCAACGCAATCAATTCATTTACTTACAACTGACTGATGATGAAAGAACACATTTTTAGCAAGTGAACTGCCATCTCCATGCTAAATTTGGAGTTTAGAAGTTTTGTTATACGGCACCTATAAAGCTCAGAACCTGCGCAGTGTTCTGGAACACAATGGCACATTTACTTGATGTTGTTTTGCTAGAGAGCGGCGTGTTGCTAGAATGCAGTTGTTCTGTTAAAGCCCTTGTAGTCCTCCTTCCTTAGAGTGGGGCTCATTTTTTTTTATTATTATTTTTACAGCAACAACAGTCCTCCAATGATTCATATCAGCAAACAGTAAGCACTAAACGAGCTGTGGAGCTCATATTTTCCACTGAGATAAAAAGACATACATATCATAAATTCTGGAGCAGAAACTACATTCGTTTGTTGAGATTGCAATCAAACACGGTTTCAGTCAGGTCTAAAGCCAGCTGCTGCTACTGCAGCTTCACTTGGAAATAAATAATATTGGTATATATAATCAAATCCATACACACAAATATCCAGTAAAACAGACTCAGGCTCGAGGACTTCATAAACAACACAGTCTATCTCTGCCTCAGAGGTGCATCATTATTTTAGCTTTCATTTAACATGACAATAAATATGCAGGTCCTAATGTTCCGTAATGCAGATACAGAGGGGGTGAATCCCACTTGGCTTAACAGTGCAAAAGTTTAGAGAAAAACAAACTGCAGAAAACCTATCCGCAAACCACTTTGGGAGCTGAGCAGTTAACGTATTCTGGGTCTCCAGGACTTCTTCCTGCCCTCTAGAAATAGTCTGCTTGCTATTAAATGCAAGCTAGAATCTGACCTTCAGCACACTGTTAATGAACATGAGGAAGTCATCAGCAAGCACTGTAAAGCTGATGAGAAAGCACAGAAAGCTGTGGCTGATGCAAGTCACCTCCCCACCCTTCTGCCCTTTATGTTGGTAGCTAGAAACCTTGAGGTATATATTCCATTATTTTTCTCCAGTGCTTATTTGTAGGGCATACTGCTGATTATATATGTTAGCTGTTGCATTGCTCTTTATGATCCTAAAAAGCAGAATGCTTGTTAGCTCACTGATTGCAGTTTGGCAAAATTAATCCACAAAAGAAATCTACTTCCTCTATGCCTCTCTCGTAATCTACATCACAGATGGCACCCTGAGGAATTCCTCCATTTCCTCTCTCGTTATCCCTTCTTTCACTTATTGCACAATTCCACTCATCACACCTCTAAGGCCTCCAACACAAGAGTAGGCAGGCTTCCCTTTCTAGCTAGTCAATGGCATTCGTAACTGGCACAGAGGGGAGAAAACTTGCCAGCACTCAGCAGATTGCTCCGTTGGCACTGTACTGACAGCTGGCACTTCAAAAATATCATAACTAGCTATGGATTTAATGCACAGTTTCCTCCCTGAGCGAGGATGAGCCTCCTGCCTTTCTGCTTTAAGCACATTCAGACAATATCTTTACTTTCCATCTATAGCAATTTTAAGCCACCTTCTTTCCATTGAAGGGTAGAAATCAAAGCTCAAAGTATTATTAGAACCAAAGCTATTGACTTAATAGACAGGGATAATGCCTTTGCTTACCTCCAGTGAGCATGCTGTCACCTGGTTTAGAGCTGTCCAAGTCAGCTGGGATTACTTCCCTTGAGTTCAATGGATCCAGTCTCCAGAAAGGCAGCCTATGACACAGAAAAGTTAATGAGGCAAAGTATCTCAGAAGGCAACATACAGGTATTGGGTCTACATATCTAGCTTTCAGTGCTCTGTATAAATAGCTGTGCTGTCAATCTGTTCCATACCTTCCTCATGGGCTTCCTTTATGGCAAAGGAGCCATGTCAGGAGCAGGACCACAAGCAAGAACCTGAAAGAAATTAAAAACTATTAAATGGCAATACAAAAATCTGTAATTTAATACTGAATAGGCTGAGCAGCTAGGCCTGAAAGGAAGAAAAGCAAACCGTCACAGAACTCCAGTCTAAGAAAAACACAGTACAAATATATTAGACAGCTCATTCCAGCTGAGCAACTGTGAAACTCTTTCCTGCACCTCAGCTTCCACATTCAGCACAAATATCTGAAAAGGAATGTTTCCATTTAACAACCAACACGTCCCGAAGGAAAATGGGAAAAGGAAAACCAGACTAGGCGGAAAAGATGCACGTAGGACACTCTCAGTCCACTGGAGCGCAAGAGAACTTCAGCACTTTGTGCCCTGTGCAGAACTCATCAATCACGAGCTTTACAGTGCTGGAACACAGCAGGAACAAGCTACTGGTATCAGCAGCTGATCTGCAGCCACAAAGGAAGATTTGCAAGGGGTACTGTCTGCAGCGGTAGGACTTGCTGTTTATTTTTGGGCTGCAACAAAATCCTAGAGCTTGAGCACCTCCAAACTCCTGGGGTAGACACCATCTTCCTATTTCTTTTTTCTGATTCTCACAATTCCATATCAACACTTCAGGCCCCTTCTGTGATTATTTATCCTAACTGCTCCTTTTCAGATCAAAGAACTGGATATCGCGTTATACTCTGAATAGAAACACCATGTGCAGACTGAAAATTCTGCACAAGAGGCCTGTCAGCGAGTTGACCTTCCACAAAAACATGGCAACAAAACCAACCAGCACGTGCAGGAATAGCTGGAGAAGCTGCAGAACTGAAAACCTGGAGAGTCTAATTGAGACAGTTGTATTTATTCCCTGCTCTAGCTTCGCTGCTCCATCACACAATCACATCTCATGCCCCATGGGCACTTTCTCTCCACAACACCCACTGCAGGACGTCAACATTCAGTCCACTTTGACAGCTTCCCTGTAGGCATAAGGGCCATTGTGGCCTCAAACACCCCTGTGGGGACGCTCACCCCAAACCATGCAGCATTCTTCACAAAGAATTCCTCTCCCCTCCCTTCTTCGCAGCCACTTCCTGACCTCAAACACAGTCTCCAGTAATTGTGCTCATACTTGGGCATATAAATCACAGCAATTAGCTACCATTCTTTAGGGCCATGATCATATTCTTCACCCTGCTGTCATACCGAAGGAACACAGCAGACGTATTCCAAGACAGTTTTTTTTTTTCTCATGCAAACAATTATCTCCTTAAATCATATCTCTGCTACAGGCACAAGAGGCCAACCAAAGCCTGTCCACGTAGGGGAAGATCATCACACAAATTAGATGACACAGAGAAGAGGGATGGGGTGGCTGAGTCAGCTCTAAGACTGCACACCAGGAATTGTGCCTCAGCAAGCAAAGGGCTCACTTCTGGGGAGATCATCCGAGTGCCTAAACCTTCGTCCTCCTTGTCAGTTGTTCAGGAATCGGCTCTGAAGCTGGAGCTCATATCTGAACCACCTGTCATGAATTTATTAGAGCAGAAAAGGGCGTGGAACTGAGATGAAGAAAGCATAGGTGTGTTCTTGAAACTGATTCATGCAGTTCCCTACAAACAGACTTGGAGAATCTGTCACTTTTCATGCATGGAAATAAGCTCTGAAATGGCAAGTGAGTGGTACAGATGTATTTTCACTAACAGTAAAACAGAAAGGGGAAATGAGCAGCATCCTACTACTTGCAAAAAATATCATTAAGAGCTAAATCTTCTTAAGGGTACCAGAATTGCATGGCAAGGACCTCTCTTAGGAAAAAGTCCCCCTCATCTGGGGGGCACGGTTCTCCAGGACACTTCCCTACACCCCAGCAGCCTAGCAGGGAAGGAAGGGACAAAACTACACAAAGCAAGTACCACCTAACTCCTACTCCCTCTCTGCCTCCCTCCAGGGGAAAAAAACAAGGGGTTGCACATCGTTGCTTAACGAATGGATTTCTTTACACGGCGAGGTCTGATGGGAACGTGCCTACACACTTGTTGTGGGTTAACCCTGGTAGGCAACCAAGCACCGCTCACACTCCTTCCCACCCCACGCTCTCCCAGTGGGACAGGGGAAGAGGAAAGGAAAAACAAAAGCAAGAGCACCTGTGGGTCGAGATAAAGCTTGTTTAATAAGCAAACGAGAAGTGGAAGAATAGAGAAAGAAAACAAAACAAGTGATGAAAAAGCAATCACTCACCACGTTGCCCAGGCAGACCAAGGCACAGAAAGTTCCTGAGCAAAAGAAGGCTGATTTTCCTAAACCCACTCTTCCCCCTTTTTATTGCTGAGCACGACGTTACATGGCACGGCACATCTCTTTGGTACCTTCAGGTCCCATCCCCACCTCTTGAACATCCCCAGTCTGTTCACTGGGGGGGAACAGAGTGAGAAACACAGAAGGCCTTAATGATATGCAAACACCATCCAGCAACAGCTAAAACATCAGTGTGTTATCAGCATTGTTTTGGTCACAAATCTAACACACAGCACCATGAGAGCTGCTGTGAGGAAAGTTCTCCGTCCTGGCCAGACCCAGTACAACTTTATAGCATTTTATTTTCTTTCTAGCAAGATTTTGAAAGGTAAATGAGATGCTGCTGCACTACAGCTTTAATCTTGTTTCTTCCAGAGTACTGAGCACCTTGCCAAGAGCCACCCATTGAAAAACTGCTAGAGATTACAGCAACAGGTGTGAGATTGCAAAGAAGCCTGCACGAGGAGACTAGGAGAGACTGAAAAAGTGTGCAACAACCTGCAGATAGAAGTTACCTGTGTGAGACATGAGACTTCAAGTATACCTTGAATAACAGAGAACATCATCACTACTTGAAAAGTATCCGTAGTAACACAGATCTTTGGATTTTAAGGCAACGATAGAAGGTGTGATCTGGAATGTCTCTTACAAATTATTTGTCTCATTAATAGTCTTAATAAAGCTTATTGTATGGTAAAAAAAAAATGAAGTTGTTCACAGTGCTGTGAACACTATCACCTTGCTATTATTCACCAAGCCCTGCCCAGACAGCTAGAACAAATGCATTTAGGCACATAACCTTTGTACAGCAGGCTAACAGCAGGGCAGGTGCTGCCAAGCATCACACAGTTGACACTTTGCTCTAGAGGTGGTCACTCAGAGCCCAAGCCTCGGGGCAGCCAGCCTGAGCACGCAGCCTCCTACCTGCTTCACCGCAGATCTCCTCTGGCAGGGAGGAAAAAGCAGTCAGCATCAAACTCAGCATTTCCTAGAAAACCAGCATGCAGGAAGACTGCACAGTGAAAGGCCGATCAAGCTGCAAGCAGTGGAAGCAGCCTGCCTTCCTTCTTTTTGCATTATGACCATTGCACAAACTGCACAAAGGTAAAACAGTTGTCAGGCAGGACGTTGTATTTAACAGCAAAACCAGCAGGACAATTGGACACGTTGACTTTCCATGCTTAGAGGTCCTGAATTTGCAGTTATTTAGATCACCAGTGGCTTCATCTGATCTTAAGACAAATGTTCTCGACAATTCAAGAATATTACTGATGCAAATTAAATTTTGATAAGTTATTAGCATCTAGATGGCAGTTCCAGAGATGCAAGGAATGCACTTAGGAAAAGTGCCATGTCTTCTGTCCTTTTAAGCACCAGGCATGATATGATACTCTGCATTGGAAACTGCTGGGGTGGATAATACACATCTAGAATGCCTCTCAAGGCAAGTGTTTTAATCCACAAATACGAGTTCACTTATCTAACAGCCCGCTTACAAAATACCTCTTTTTGGCTAGCTGCTACCAACTGCATGCACTTGCTGTTTAAAAAATACAAATAACAAAGAAACAGAAAGGATGTTCCATTTCATTATTTTTTTTTTTCAAGTATATCTTGAGGTCAGCTTGTATCTAAACTATTTTTACAAAGATCAGTTCAGCCTAGCCAGTGAGGCCTTAATCTCAAGAAACATTGGCATCCTTTCTGGATTACCACCACTTAATTGCATCAGCCATACAGCAAGAACAAAGGTGGAAAATTCTCTGGAAAGCTATGCTGGAGACAAGGCCTTAGCCTTTAATGCGTAAAAGCTCTGCAGAGTTCCTCATTTAGATACTTTCACCCCATCTGGTGCAAAATATAAAACCATGCTTAAACGCAATTTCATTCCTGTTACGTAATTTTACTTGGCCTAGTTGAGTATCTTTAATCTGTGCAGCTGATCTAGTTTTATTGTTAAGCCAATAAGGGCTGCAATGATTACGTATCTTGGGGTTACAGAACCACAGCAACTCTAGCTTACGGGACCATCGAATCTAACCTCCTTCCTCGATGTAAGATCTTACACTGGGCTTTAGCCGCTATGGCACGTATTTGTCTGATCTGTTCTTAAAAGCCTCTAAGAAGAGCCCACGTCTTGCCAAGGCAGCCCAACACAGCGCATGACTAGTTCAAAGGAATCACCGAAACATTTTTTCGCTGTAACCCAGATCTGCCTTGCTGTTATTTTAGCTTATGGCTTCTCACCCTACCCCCAGTGGACACAAGAGAACAAATTGTTCCTTTCCTCATGGCAACAGCCTTTTATCTATTTGAAGACTCACCACGTTGTTCCGCAGCTTTCTGTTCTCTGAACAGGCTCTATAAAAGTCATGTGCTCGAAAACTATATCATTATTGCCATTTTTTCCTCCAAGTGATCCCAATTTCATCTCCTGTGGAGCCCAGTGCTGGACATACGCTTCCAGCACAGGTCAGCAGTGCAGGATGGCTTCCTGCACGCATCTTACTGGTAGATTTCATACCTATAGGGAACTGCACAGTGTTCAAACCTTCTCCGGCAGAAGGAAATGGATACCTATTTAGCTCACAACCCACAGCAGCCCCTCCATCCTTCCTTGCAGCACAGCCAGCTGCCCAGCTCTCCTCATCTCATAACCGTGAAGTTATGTTGGAGTACACAGCAGCACACCTGTCAATAACTGCATCCCTTTTTTTATTTTGTAGACTTCCCATCTTGCATTCTAGTTGTTTGATACAGCCTCAAACTCCATCCCACCTTCAAATACAGCAATTACACTGCCTGTTTCGTTGCGGATGAGTAATGGAGCCAGGGTAGCTCCCCGTACAAGCACTGGCATCAGGTACATTTTCCCTCAACCAGTTTTGCAACTCCCTTAGAGCAGTATCACCTAAACTGGTTCTCCAGTTTATTATTAGAACATCCTGCAGGCCACTGTCATAAGTCCTACTAAAAAAAAATAAAATCAAGATATATGACGTGCACTGCCTCACCCCTGTCTGCAAGCCCAGTCATGGTGCCAGAAGAGGACATGAGATTGGCTCAATTCATGCACTACAAGGCCACACTGGGTGGCATTCACCTCCTTACAAACTCTTTATTTTCCTCAGAGACCAGAAAAAAGCATTGCCAGACCCACTTCAGTATTTTATAAGAAACTTATTTTCATTCCTAACCAGTCCAATCCTATAAACCTGGAGGCGAGGGGTTATTTGTTTAATTAAGTAGCTGGCTTAACCAGGTGTCAGAACTCCCCTGACACAGGCTGAGTGCAAGCATCAGCCAACAATAATTTCAGACGAATTGGACCATCCAAAGTGCATTTTCACCCATAAATCTCCACCTTGCTGCCTTGTCCCGTTGCAGTGACCATTAGAATAATGCTTGTTGAGATCACGAACGTGTGCTACTTTAATGCTGGCTGCATATCTGGGATGCTGGCGTTCTGGATAGCGAAGTGTCCAGGAAAGTATCAACAATAAAATGGCCTCAGGTTGTGCCAGGGGAGGTTCAGGTTGGAAATTAGGAGATATTTCTCCTCAGAAGGAGCACTCAGGTGGGTTGCCCAGGGATGTGGTGGCGTCACCGTCCCTGGGGGTGCTTGAGGAGAGGTTGGTGCTTGGGGACATAGCGGGTGACATTGGTGATAGGGGGTTGGACCAGACGGCCTTGAAGGTCTTTTCCAATTTTAATAATTCTATGATTCTATGATAATTAACATTGGGGCTCTCACTCCTCACTGCGCATGCGCCCCCTCCCTTTGTGTCTATGCATGAGGCGCACCCCCTCCGCCCCCCACTCCCCCCCCCCACTCCACCCCGCGCATGCGCAGTTCAGCCCCGCGCCGCTCCCCGCCTTGCCCCCGCCCCCGCAGCGGCGGCGCACGCGCGGCCGGCGGGCGGGGGGGGCGCGCATGCGCAGAGCGCGTTTCCTGGCTCCCTTGTCAGGACCGGGCCGCCCCCCCCAACGCCCCCCCCCCCTTCCTCGGCCTCCGCCGCCCCCGTCCCGGTTTCTTCGTTTTTTTTTTTCGGTTCCCGGAGCGGAGTCGCGTTGACTGCCCAGAGTCCGCGAGTCCCGCTCCGGTTCCGTCGCCTCAGGTGAGTCCCGGTGTCTGGGGAGCGGCTGTCGGCCCCCCCCGGCCCGGTGCTGAGGGGGGGGGGGGGGATGGATGGCGGCGGGGAGGCGCCTCAGGGCCTGGGGGGAGGCCGGGCCCGGCGCTGCCGCTGAGGGAAAGAGAGGAGAGGGGAGGGGAGGGCTGGGGGGAGGCCTCCTGAGGGGCTGTGGGGAGGGGGAGCAGGGCGGGGGGGGGCTCGGCCGGGCGGGTCCTGCCTCAGCCTCAAGCCCCCGGCCCTCTTGCCTCGGCCTCATTCCCCCCACGACCCTTTTGCCACCGTCCTTCCCCCCCCCATGACCTTCCTGCTTCAGCCTCCTTGCCCCCCGCCCCTCCCCAGACCCTCCTGCCCCGGTTTCCATCCCCGTCCCTCCTCCTGCTTCAGCCCCCTGACCCGTTTCACCCTCGGTTCCTGTGGGAACAAAACAGGGCAGGGCCGCAGCTAGCTGCCCCCCCTCCCAAAGCAGCTTTGTAACGCTCAGGGTGCTGTGGGGCTGGCCCGCGAGGGGTCACCCCCGTGGGAAGGCTGTGCTGGGTGATTGGGGAGGGAGTGACAGCAGCAGGAGGCAGCCCTTTATTGAGGGGTGCTTCTCTTCCCCCTGTTTGAAAGCGGTGTCGGTGCTCTGGAAAGAGGTGAGGTCTAAAAAGAGCCCCTTCCCTCTCTTCCTCTCGCTCTCTGTCACACACACGTACGCTGTCTCTAATTCTGAATCAGCATCCTTGCTCGCCGCTTGTCCAGGGATGGCCTCGTGCCACAGATTTTGCACCCCGCTGAGAGCTGACAGCAGCTGAGTCCTGTGCTTCCCGACCTCCAGCTTCTCGGCCTGCATGCTCAAAACGCTTGTGCTGTGTGAAGGTGCAAGGACTTCTGTCTCTCTCCCCTTTTAAAAAAGCAATTGACATTCAAGGACTAGTTAGCTTTGCATTTGGAAAAGGGAAAAAAAGATCAGGGGATGGCTGCATTAAATACCTAGGCTAACAAAGTTGTCATAACATGTATCTTTCCTAAATGAGATGCTGAGGTTGGTTGATAGGGAAATACTGGGGGGTTACCACAGATGAAATGTCAAGAATCATAGAGCCAATTGCGCTTTCTAGTGAAATGTGAGGTCACATTTCTAGTGAAATGCAATTTGGAAGGTTTCATAAAGATTTACCTTCCCAAAGAAAATCCTGTTGTAACTGTCAGACCAGGTGAATGAAAAAATTGTGCTTTTTTCCATTACCATCACTGCTTTTTTCTATGAACCTGTTACCAAAACAGAAGACAGCTTGCCACAGGTTCTGGTGCTTGAGACAAGAAGGGGTCATGTCTCTTGGCTAGATGGAAGCTTTGGGATCAGCCTGTAGGTTAGGGACTAAAAATTTCTGAGCTAGAAGTTATTGGGGTGGGACAGTGGTGTTCATGCATAGGGCCAGCCTGTGAAATAAATACCAGGGTTGTATTAGAAAGTGTTTTGAAATAGCTGCATTCCTTGGGGAGGGGAGATGGGATATTTTTACATTTTATTTCAGAAAGAGTAGAAAAGGCTGAGCATTCCTTGTTGGTCGCCCAGCTCTTCAACTTTTCCTGTATATGGAAATGTACTGCTACCGAATGCTGGCATGTGCTAAAGCGAGATCGTGGAAAACGCAATTTGCAGTCGTGTTTTGCTTATATTAACACACGGAATCCCAAATCATGGCTGCCCAAGGTCAGAGGTAACTCGGATTATGTCAGTGTTCTCACACTAATTAAAAAATAATAATAATTTTGCTTAGGACTGCGTGTAGTTACTAGTTGTGTTTGATCTGTAGAACGTGATGATTAGAAGAAAAATGAAAACCATGCCAGTTAAAATCATGAACTGGACTTCAAGCTCACATAGCTAAAAGCTATATTTAGAATACATTTAGTGTGTAACTGTAAGTCAGATTTCTTTAGAATAACAGTGCTTGATTTCTTTAAAAAAGAAAAAAACCTTTCCAGTTGCGCGCATTGGTGAGGTATTGTATCATCTGACCCCAAGACTCAGCACTTTCAGCTTCTTTATTAAACTAGCGGAGAGATAGTAACTGCTCGGCTCCTTACGGGCTTACTCATCTCTCATTCACTCCTGAGTTTCTGTTGGACTGCCACTCATTTCCTGTTTGCTTCCAAATTCCTACCTTGTCCTGAAGTCTCCACCCTCTGCTAACATGGCCATACTTGGCTATGTTGTAATTTCAGGCTGTAATGGGTGTGGATGTCTTGGAGTGACATCACAGAGATTTTTCTTTTTAGATGCATATGTAGGGGGAAGAAGACTTTGTACCATCAGCCAAGGAGAAATTGCCCTGAAAATGAGTGGAATATAGGGAAGGAGGAATTGATAAATCCGAGTTGTGTTGTATGCGTTGAGCTATGCGCGTTTTAATTATTACAGGTGACCTTGAGTCGTTACAGAGTTATCTTCCATCCCTGCATGCTGCCCTTGATTAACGCAGGACATAGAACACGATACGGTATTTTAAACAGCTTTGTAGTCGCTTGGCAGTGCACCTCCAATTGCAGATGTTCAGCACTGTCTCTTTTACAGCCATAAGTTAAAGAAAAAAATAGGTATTTAGATTAAAAAAAAAAATATATATATATATATTTACAGATGAGAAGAACTCAGCTTGTTCTTCCACTGCTTGAATCTCGTGGGGGCAAAATCCTAACTATAAAACAGTGAAGTGCTAGGATTAATTTGAAGAAATTACTAATTAATTTATTACTGATCTTAGTCATTTTTCCCTAGGATACATGTAAAATCAAATAACACATCAGCAGATTATAGTTACACATCAGTGTTCTGGACACATCAGTTTAACTTCCCTATTTTCCTATCAAAAATAGATATCACCGTAGTGCTGGGAGCCTTGATACATATCAGGATTTTGATTCAATTCACTGAGATAAGTCACTAGATCTATTTATTTATAATATTGTAGTTCCACTATTTTAGTTTTGTTCATAAGAACCTCTTCTCTCGCCTCTAAGGATATCCCAAGAAGCAAGGGCATCTTAGAGCAGTTGCAAATTAATTATAGTGAGCAAAACAGTTAAAATTTATTGGCCTGTTAAAGGTATCAAAG